TCTCTCTCTCTCTCTCTCTCTCTCTCTCTCTCTCTCTCTCTCTCTCTTTCTCTCTTCTTTCGAAATTGCTAACATGAAAATTTTATATACCTCATCAGTAACACCAGTAACTACTTGCTCCCAATTAAGGCTATTTTAAGTAGCAAGTTTATTTCACCGAGTTGTTTGATCTTACCGAATGTCTAGAAAACGAATTTCGCGTGAATTTCACGATGGTAATTGGAATTTACAGAGCGTTTAATTACGATGGGGGACTTATTAAAAATCTTTTCCTAAATATTTAAAACTAGAATTAAGTAAATTTATATATTTATGTATACATTTACCATTTCTTGGAAACATCAACAATTTTGCTTCAAATATTGATATTGCTATATTCTGAACGATACGATAAAACTTATTTCACTAATCGTTACATACGTTATTAAGTTACTCATTACGTAACTATCACGATAGTGATATTCAATATCATTTTATTCATATAACTCTCTCATGTAACTCTCTGCAGCATATAAAACAGGGACGGCTTGTACATCATCACCAGAATATTGGAAGTCGTAAATAACAACATATATAACGCGGACGCGGTAATTTAAAACCCTGATTCCCGTTACAAATTATTACCTACTAGCTTTTTGCATCGAATTGTTCCCCTCGATAGCACAAAGAAAGATGGCATAAATACGCTTTTCACAACAATGTTTTTCACGGAAATCGAATAATCCAAGCATTTACGACTCTGTAGAGAAAATATTTCACAAAAACCGGATCTAATTATATCAAACACACACAAACGCTTCTATTTTTAGTAGTTATGTATAAGTCATAATGTTGGTTCTTCATAAATTATCCTGATGTATGTGCCAAAAAACGCGTGAATTATACGATAAAAATAGATGCAAAGCTAATAGACGGAAAAAAAGACTGAAAGTCGTATAGCAAAGGATTTAAGTGTATATTCGCGGGAAAGAATTATAACTAAAAAAGAAAAGACATTTCCTATCGAGACAGATCTGTAGTTGATATCGATAAATGCCAAATTAATATAAACGAACGCTATTTAATGGGATGCCTATAGTCGATTATCCATTTCCGATTTGAAAACTGCGGCACTTGATGAATGCGTAATTGAAAAATATATCAAAGTAGCGCGACGCTTTTATCAAATAAAGAAACGACAATCGGCGACCCTATAATTTTATCGTAAAAGCGAGAATAACGCCATCCTCAATCAGTTGCGCTCGTGTCATGAAAAATTCATAAACGTCTTCGCTGCGACACTTCACCGCGAAATATATCTTCCCATATACACATCACATGCAAGATATACACGTACCTTATTATTTCTGTAACAGATTCCAACTTGACATTTGTCTGCAATCTAGAAGCTAGCGCGAAAATCTGTTGAGAAACATATTCTCTTTATCCATTTCCCCGTTTTCAATTCTTCTTCTTCGTATTTTCGTTTACACTCGAATAGTAAATTTAAAAAAACGAACTAAAAATAATGAAACGCTTTCCTCTTCAAGAATGTTTCCTTTTTTGATATACGTACGTCTTTGTATGTGTACACATAATAAAAAATCGGCAGAGGATTGTAAATTATAAAAATATTTTCTAGGCTCTAATCTATCCGAGCCTATCGATTTCAAGGCAATAGATTAGGTAGATTATAATATATTAATTCATTTGTAATGTTTTTCTATTGTTAATCTTTAATATTTTAATTTTTCCTGCAATAACTCTGTAGAAATATATAATTAATTATTCAGATATTCCATGATATTAAATAATACAGAACATTTTATCGCTACATTAATTTATTATTTTAAATAAAAATTTTGGTATATGTCTAATAATCGTTAGAAAAAAACTGTTTATAATTTTTTTAAAACATCTCATTTCTCACACATACATTTTATTTGCGTCCGTAATATAATTCTTACAAATCCATTGCCTCGACATAAAAATAAAAAAATAACTCACCGACCGATGCGCAGCAGCGGAGTTGTAAGTTGTATAACCCTGCGTTGATCTGTAACGCAGAAATATTTTCACGTTAAAGCAGAGTGTTCCAAGAGAGATAATCAATATTTGAAGTAAATAATTATCGCGCCCGTTAAATTTTTAAAACGTCATTTTAGCATTATCCGATTTTAAAATGCTAATGCAAGGAACGATCGCGGCCGCTGCTAACGGCTGCATATTTCCGCATTAATTCCTTCGCATAAAATTAATCCGCGAAAAATCGCGCAAGTAATATTACGACCGTGCGAATAATTGAGACGTGACATTCGCGACGTAATATATCTCCTCTCGCGTATGCCGGAGATCGAACTCTTTCGGCGAAATTACACCGGAGTTAAACCACGAACGAATATTGCACGGTAATGAGTAATGGACGAATCAAGTCGCGCGCTTGAGAAAGTGGCGGCGGAATTCGCCACGGGACAGCCAAATAATAAACGAATCACAATTACTCACCCCACGGTCGCTCCGCCGTCGCCCGATGTCTCCCAGGCCCCCTCCAGCCCCTCCTCCTCTCCTCGGTCCTCTCTCCGTTGTCGCATCTCCGTCGGCGCCACTCACTCGCGACGTTCACGCGCGAAAATATCGTCGCTTATGATCGCGCGACACTTTGCACGGCACTCCCGGCATTAATCTCGCGACGCGGCGCGCACTTTATTACACGGCGACGATAGAATTACGGCGGAGATGCTGCGAACGAAGCGATGCCCGTCCGCTCGACGCCCGGGCGCCCGTCGGCCCCATGATGTCCCGCAGATAGTAGGCGCTAACATGGCGGAGAGAATTTCGTAAATCGCGCGGCCAACTTCACTCGAATCGCCAGCAGCAACCGTCACGTCGCGGTCGCGTCGCTGTGCTACACTTGCTGCTCCCACACCTGTATACATACTTTCCGCACTTCCAAACAATGAATATACGACGTCGAGATTACTTTTACGTATCGCGATGTAAGCGACGTAAGAGGAATAAATGTATGAATCGAAGACAAATATCCGCGGAACGTGCAGATATCGTAAAATAATACGATCGTTCGCGCGATAGATCTTGGTTAAGTTAATCTTGCGAGACACACATTTTAACGAGTCGCTAACGAATCGCTAACTTATGAACATTGTGTCCACCCTCCACAATTGCTCAATATTAAAATATGATTTAGAACGTTGCTAAAAGACGAGAATAGTTCCTGGTAGTCACCAATCAAGCGAGTCGCGGCGTCAGTCGATCAGGGTCGTCCGCTCGCGTCTGAGGGCAGCTACATTCTGAAGCCACGCGATCGCGAGTATCGCGACACGACGCGAGTCAAGTTGGACGGTTGAGAAAAGGGAGACCGATCATCCGAAAGAATGTGATCGAAAATCAATATTATCGAATATATGCGATATACCCTCGGTAAATCGTATAAATTCCGCGAAGCACATAAATAAACATTCGATATACCACAGTTTTCCGTAATCTGAGCCGTGCCTATGGTGTGATTCGCGTATTACCCCGCGGCACCCCGCCCTGCAAACGCGGAGAGCGCCAAATTACGGAATTTGAATCGGCGGAAAACACGGAGCGCGCGATCGATTCGAATTCGACCACGGCTATGAAGAAAATCATTTGGCAGTATAA